TCCCAGCTCTGGGCAGCTTTATCCCACCACTCTGGGAGCACCGGTGAYGGGAGCCGAGGCTGTGGCTCTCACCCGGTGCTGTTACCCTGCTGCTTGCTGCGCAGAGACGTGTATGGCTTGGGGACAAGCCCCGCACCTCCCAGGGGCAGTGGTTCAGGGAGGCGAGCGAGGGGATGAGCTGTCACCTCTCCTCCCACGAGCCCCTGAGCTGCCGTCCCCAGCGGGGCATCGCCTCGGCCCTGCAAGGACAGYGGCAGGGATGGGTTCCCGTCCTCATGTTTGGAGCCCTGTGGTGGGGGAGGCTGCAGAGCACAGATGGGAGTCACATTACTGGGTCGGCAGCGCAAAATTATTTCTCGCTGTAACAGTGGCAGAGGAATTGTGTGTGTGCCAGCATTTTTAACATTTAAATTTAGGGCACTTGTTCCATGCTGGTGAGGATCAGCAGCTGCTGCCGCTCGCAGCGTTGCGGGGAGCAGCTCCCTTCCCGCGCAGGGGGTGCGCGGGGACTGGGACACAGCGCTCGGCAGCGCTCGCTCTGCAGAGCGCGATGACGTTTCGGGGCATTTTGCTGATGAGGCCAAATTCTGCCYGGGCTTAATGCAGCGGAATCGATCAGCTCGCCGACTGTCATTCCTGCAGCAGGGAGATCGATGCAGGGCGCTCGCGGGTGGCTCCTCACGCTGCTCATCCATCTCAGGCTCCGTGTGCTGCTCCAAGTGGGGCTCGGAGGAGCCGCGTGGCTGCGGAGCGCGCGGTGACGTGGGGCACGTGGCGCTGCCCGCACACCCTGCGCTTGCTTTCTGCAGCCCGTCCGGAGCAGCCCTGAGCGCTGCAAGTCTCCACAGTCCTCACCTGGCCCCCCATTAGCGTTTCCCAGGGGATCTGACACCCTGGTCTGCCTTGTTGGTGTCCCTGTCCCTCGTCCTCAAACTCATGCAGTGACTGGGGCTGTGTTGCTTTTCTGTGCTCTTTAGTGTGCACTGAGCTGCGGGCTGAGCCCGGGAGCTCTGTCAACACCAAAGCCATCTGCAGAGGTCTGGTTTGTGCGCCGCTCTTGGGGCTGTTGGTGTCTAATGTCAATCTGAGCTCGTGGAATGGAAAGAATGGGGTGCGTGTTCCTCGCAGTGCTCCYGACAGGGCTGCACAGCTTGCAGGAGCTGTGGTCTGTGTTAAAGCTCCAATGGCCACGTGGATTCCTCATTGCAGATGTGACGTGACATGCGGTTCAGAGCTGCTCCAGGAGGATTCTGTTCGAGCTTCTGCTCCCCATGGCCCCGTGTAGGGTTCAGCCTCCGTGTTCACCGCAGCCAGCTCCAGAGATGGGGCTTGGCCTGCACAGCGGCCCGAGGGGCCCTACGTGGCTTTGCAATCTGCTCACCTGTTAGCAGGCTTAGAGAGGCCCTTCCTTTCCCCCCAGAGCCTCTTGATTATTCACCAGCTCCTTGTGCTTGTTCCCTCTACCTGGGTGGCTTCAGGTTTGGTTTTCCAGCCTTGCAGCCCTGCAGTGT